CAAACTCATTTGCATTTGTGAAATTTGAAAAAAAACAAAACACACCAAAAAACCAAACTTACTGCCATGCAGTAGAGTTGATTCTGGTTCATAGAAGGTAGCAAACGTCTTTCAAATACTTGGAAATAAAGTATTGCCCAGGGCATACCATAAAATGCTTTGTTGTTCTTATTAAAAGTGCCAGAGTGGGTATGGACTCACAGCAATCCTGTGTAGGGTTTCTGGGAAGCAACTGGTGAGCTTGAAACACGAGGTCAACCTTGCAGTCTAGTGAAAATCTCACAGTGCCATACCATGGCTTTAGGGTAATCAAAAAGTATCCCATTTTTTCTGGATTTGATACAAGTCACTAAAATCTATTAGTTGGGCCTGATGATTACTAAAATGTGCCTTTAAAATTTTTATTTTGTTGTTCAGACGATACAGTGCAAAACATACACCAATTCAACAGTATCTATGTGTTTAAGTCAGTGATTCTGTTTATATTCTTAGGGTTGTGCAACATTCTCAGTCTCCTCTTCTGAGCTGTTCGTCCTCCATTAACATGAACTCACTGTCCGCCCCAAACGGCCCATCTACACTTTCAAGATGTTGTCATCAGTTTGATGCCAATAAAAGCAGCCTGTTCCTGGTATTTTCTCAAGAGAAAATGAAGAAATGACAGCATTTATAAGTCATAATGGTTATTTTATGTGTTTTCAAAAACTTTCAATCCCAGAAGCACATCGTGCAGCTCCATTTATTTGTTTTGATATGTTGATATTAATAGCAATCTTTAGAAGAGGCAAGTCGCTGAGATGCCACTGAAGGAAGAATGAAAACCTATAAAAACAGGATGGCTCTGCTCCACTCTGAGCAGTATTTCCCCAGGGTGTTATTGGGGAGACTCTGTGCCTTGTACTATGACAATGTTTGTATGTTTTGAAGGAGAGCGTGTATAATACGGTTTTTCCGAGCCAGAAAGCAAAAGTCCCTCTTCATTCTTTAGTATGGAGCCCAGAGCACTCTTGTTTGTCAGGCTAATCACTTAACTGACTAACAAATAGGTGTGCTCTCTATTCCTGTTGTTGTCACTAATTGATTCCCACTTGGAATCAATTACTTGAATTGGTTACAAATCACAGCAACCTTGTATAGGGTTTCTGAGGAGTGGCTGATGGGTTTGAACTGCTGACCTTACTGTTGTTAAGTGCCACCGAGTTGGTTTCAAGTCATAGTAATCTTGTATAGGGTTTCCAAGGAGTAGCTGGTGAGTTTGAACTGCTGACCTTGTGGTTCAAACCAACCTTGTGGCTGACTGCTTTATCCCACAGTGCCCCACTAGGAGTCCTTGCAGTCCAGTGCTTACCATACAGCACCCCACGGAACTCTAACACCATATATCTCTGTGTAGAAGAAATAAAACTGGATATGGTATAAAGCAGGCAGGAGGAGGAGCTAGTTATTTATTGCCATACTCCCACTTCGTCCAGGCCAACCGCAGCACAATTTCAGTATGAATGTGCACAAACTCCCCGCAGGAAGTTATCCCTTCTTTTCTAGAGCTGTGTCATCTTGTAATCTTGGGTCAGGATTCCTAACCTTTTGAGAACAGTATAAATATTCTCTCTATACTGAATACAATTTGGAATTTTTATACACCTCCAAATTGTATTCAATATAGAGTCCTGGTGTGGCGTTGCAGGATAAACACAGGACTACTGACTGCAAGATCAGTGGTTCAAACCCACCAGTCACTCCTTAAAACCTTACACTGGTTGCTATGAGTCAGAACTGACTCGACAACACTTAATAGCACAACAATATACACCTCTGGGATGTCCTAAGATTCTCAAGTGTCAAAGGTTAAGAATCTCGATGCCAGCGAAACAGTGATTTCATTGATTTCAGTTTCTTCATCATTAAAATGAAAGCATTAGAGTTTTAATGATATAACAATGGCCCTTTAGATCTGGAACACTCAAAATTATGGCTCTGAGAGATGGATGCATTAAGACAACATAGGAAAGGTGAGTTAGACTCTTGATGGTGTCAGTAAACTCAGCTGCAGCCGACAGCAAGAATCTGAGTGCACGGACAGGGCTGTGATGGAAAGCAAGCATTACTCAAGAAGTGGGTTTCTTAAATTACTGGTGACAGGGGGCAATTTCAGTTTTCCTGGAATTGAATTAAAAAGACAAATTTCTCCTTTACAAGGAAGGAGATATGAAAGAGTCTGCAGATAACTCCGTAGTTTGAAAAAAAATAAATTTTTTTTGTCTTTCGGTTCTGCCATGAACTCAGAATCTGAAGCTCAAACCTGCAATTACAGCTTTCTTTCCTATCAAATATCCTATTCACATTCTGCACTTTAACGTCAACAGGCCAACTGACTATAATAAAATATTGTTGAAATGTCATATAATTAAAAAAATATATATAAACAACAAAAGTGCCTTTATGTCAAATAATCAAAAAAAAAAGTGCAATTTTAGCTTATCCTTAAAGGTATTTTCATTTGCACACTAATCTGATACATGGTGATGGTGACCGTGGTGGCTGTGTGCCCACTGATTCAGTTCCAAATCATATAGGGTTTCCAGTGCGGGGACCAGTCTCATCTTTCTTCCATGGAATGACTGGTAGATTTGAACTGGTGACTGGTAGACAGCAGCACCAACTCATAACCCTCTATGCCACCTGGGCTCCTTTTGTTGCATGGTGCTGTTGTTACTCTTAAGGGCCACTGAGTCAGTTTTGACCCACAGCGACCCTGTATAGGGTTTCTGAGGAGCAGCTGGTGGGTTTGAACCACTAACCTTGTGATTAGCAGTCCAGTGCTTACCCTACAATGTCACACTAGCACTCCTTGTTACATGGTTGTTGTTGTTGTTGTTAAGTGACATCAAGCTGGTTCCGACTCACAGTGATTCTGCTCTAGAGTTTCCAAGGAGTGGCTAGTAGATTTGAACTGCCAACCTTGTGGTTCATACCTGTGCTTACCCTATTATTACATGCTGGTGGTGGTTGGTGGCTATATGCCGTGGAGTTGGTTCTGACTTACAGTGACCCTATATAGTGTTTCTGAGGGAGTAGAAAGCCTCATCATTCTCCTGCAGAGCAGCTGGTCGATTCGAACCTCTGACCTTGCAGTTAGTAGCTCAGCTTGTAATCCACTATGCTACCAGAGCTAGCATTTCCTAAACAGTATTTTTAAGACCAGGCCCTCAAAATGCCTTTAAAAGTTAGAGAAATGCAGTCCTAGAGTGTCCCTCTTGTTCTCCCCAAGGTACATAAACTACTGAAGACTGAAGTTTTCATTGTATTTAAGACTACATAGGATTGTATGTATTTAATTGTATTTAACCAGTATTTCCCTGATTTGTTAGAATATACACAACTTGTTTCCATTTAACACCTAGCTGCTAATCTCAAGGTCAGCAGTTCGAAACTATCAGCTGTTCCACCAGAGAACGATGAGGCTTTCTGCAGCAGTAAAGATTTACAGCCTCGGAAGCCCTGTACAGGGTCGCTATGAGTCAGAACCGACTCCACGGTACATAACAACAACATTCCTCACACAGAAAACGTATTACCATTTGGTAGCACATACTTTAGGACAGGTTGATGCAATATAGAAAATACTGCAACCACTTTATTTTTATGATATGTAAAAGCGATTCATTGAATCGCTACACTTTCATATAGACCTCTACTTTACATGTGGGGCTAAGGGCTAAATGGCCAGGCCAAAAAAATCACCCCCCAAACCCCCAAAAAACAAAACTAGTAGTGTCTGTATGTTTCAAATCTAGATAATATGAATCAGTATATTTTTCTGTACTGACAGCTCTCATGCAAGAAATTTACTATGGAAGTAACACATGCTAATTAAACTTAAAGGCAAATCACTCTTTTGTTTCATCTGCCATTTTGTTTAGGTCAAGCTAACTCACAGGTGTTGGAAATGCTTCCTAGACAAAGAGGTTTTTTTTTTTTTTTTTCCCATCTAGATGTAGTTTTCTTTTTTAAGTTGTATTATAGCAGGTTTTTGTATTTTTTTTTTTTTTTTGATCGTCTGATCATTGTAGAAGGGGGTGTTTGTGCGTTAAGTATTGGCGTACTTGCCGAAAGGTTGCCAGCATCTGCTCAGTGGTAGAAAGCTGTGGCTATCTCTTTCTATAAAGATTTTGTCTCAGAAACCCTACAGGGCAGTTCTACTCTGTGCTGTCGGGTCACTATGGGTCAGAATCAATTAGATGATAGGACAAAGCTGTAGTCCAGGCATGCCCAAAAATAGGTGCTTTCAAGTATAACCAATTCAGGGAAGGAGTCCACATGATCTAAGACAATGACCATTTGTGGATAGGACCATTGGATCCAGAGGGTTTAACTGGCTGGTTGTCGGATGCAGATCACCAGGCCTTTCTTCCTGGACTGTCTAAATCTGAGAGCTCCGCGGAAACCTGTTTAATATTATGGCCAACACAGAAATTTCACCAACAATCAGGTGGTGACTGCACAGGAGGTGCAAAGGTGGTCAGGACTGGACTCAGATCTCCCACGTGGAAGGAACGAATTCTACTACATAACTACAACTACCCCAGTAAGACAATGATTGTACTTTGAGTCCCAACATTTAGTAACTCTTCTTCATAAACCACAGGCTTCTAATGTACAGCTCTTGTTTACATTAAAAGAGAAAAATCTGGATTTCCATGTCATTTGCACCCAAGAAAGGCAGTTTTGAGTCAGTTTGTAGTTCATACAGGGCAGGCCTCTCCCAGGCCACTAGCTGAAAGTGAACTGTATTTTTTTCAAATTACTCATCTGGGGAAGCACCTTAGAAGATCAGGCTTTGTTCTCACCTGTTACTGAATTGATGTTCAATCTGGGACACATGAGTGTTACTATGCTTTGCAATAAAATAGGGATGCTAATGGTGGTTTTTTAGCTGTAACAGGGGGATAAAGTGTGAATTGCTCAAATGACAGCCAGAAGATCATCAGCTGGTAGATTACCGTGTGAGGCACTCTTCTGCCTGCTTCTCATTGTTCATCTTGTGCTGAACCACAGCAGCCACTGCAAGAGGGCCCGCATCCCCGCACAGGAAGGTGATGGAACGCTTGGTCAAACAGTTGAGACTCTGCTTTATGTATCCATGTGCCATCTGCAGGTAGACAGGGTCCCCGAACACATCATAGAGATGCAAGTACAGCAACGCAATACCTGAAAGGCAAAAACAAAACAAAACCATGTACCTCATAACACTGTCTAAGAAAGAACACTGCCTAGGAAAAATCACTGTCTAGGAAGAAGAGGGAAAAGAAAGATAAGGAAACAGTGGTTGATAACAAGGCAAAGTGTGTTGCCTACCTCATTAGGATTGATAAGCTATAGCAAATAGATACCTGATCTGGAAGTTCAGGTGGCCTTAGTTCTAAGGACTAGGATTAGGCAAATCACTTACTTGTCCTCAGTTTCCTCCCTCACTACAAATGTAAATACAAACTTTAAGAGCCTGGCCAATAAAGAGGCAGTAAAGTATCAATCCTTACTGCTCACTGATTATTGTATTAATGTACTCTTCTTAAGGGTTAAATAAGTCATCACACTCTGGTTACAAAGAAATAGTCATCTATTTAATGAACAAATTAATAATAATAATGAAAGAATTTGTTTTGTTCTTGTGACAGAAATTTAGACTAGGACACGAAAAACCTCAATTTCTGTTTCTACAAAGGATAATTTCCAGTGTAAGAAGGGAGTTAAACTCCCAGGCAGGAATTGCAAGCAAACTATTAAAAGTGATTTGGTATCTGAGCGGATATCAACTCCTTCTAAACATATCCAGTCACTTGGTGGTGGTGTTGTTTAGTGCTGTCGAGTTGATTCTGACTCATAGTGAACCTGTGGGTTTCCAAGGAGTGGCTGGTGGATTTGAACTGCTGAACCTGCAGTTCAAACTGACCTTGCAGTCTACTGCTTATCCACAGCACCACAGCAGGACTCCATCCAGTCATTTGCTGTTGCTGTTTAAGTGCTGTGAAGTCGGTTCTGACTCATAGTGACCCTATATAGGGTTTCCGAGGAGCAGCTGGTAATCTTGAACCATCGACCTTGTGGTTTGCAGTCCAGCAACTTTGCAGTCCACTGTGTATTAACCCACAGTGCCACACCAGGACTCTCCAGTCTCTTGTTGTTGTTGTTGTTGTTAAGTGCTGTCAAGTTGATTCTGACCCATAGTGACCCTGTATAGGGTTTCTGAGCAGCAGCTGGTGAGCTTGAATCACTGACCCTACAGTTCAAACGGCTTTGCAGTCTGGTGCATTAACCCACAGCGCCACACCAGGACTCCTAGGGAGATATAATGGAAGAGCTGCCAGAGACTTGCTCTGGGCTCCCTGTAGGCTCCCTCCGCTACTACTGAAGCCCGGGACATGTAATGGAGGCATTGTCTGCATGTCCTTATTCCAAATTCTTGTCAAGTAGGCAGAGCCTCCTCTGAAGCAACCTGGTCTGAGGGCAGACTCAGAGAAGTAGAATAGGAAGCCTGCCTGCCTGCCTGCCTGCAGCATTTCCAGAAACTCATTTTTCCCTTTAAAGTACATTTTCCATCTCATTTACCATTTTTAGAAGACACAGAGCTTATGTTTAAATCTAAATTAATAGAGCCAATCTCGTCACGGATTTCAGTGCAGTAAAAATGCAGCTTGCAAAATTACTTTTCACTGTACTGAGGACAATTTTAAATTTAGATAGTTTTCTCATTTTGCATGGGTAATCTCCAAAGCTTTGTGCTACAGACAATTCAATTTCACATGTATATTAAGGACAAATTTTCATTTCCTGCCAAAGTTAATAACCTTGTCTGCTCTTTCAAAGTGGTTCGATGTTAGTAATTCCACAAGCTGATGATCAGATGTACCAATGCTTAAAGTTTGTAGATAAGTGTACACAACTGCAGTATATGGAGAAGGAAAAAATCCTCCTTTTCACAAATGATCAGTGTCAAGAGCTTCTTCTAGAATTAGGTTCTTAATGGGCGTCATCTCCATCCACACCAGGAATGTGCAGGCGATCTGTTGTAAATTGTTACCCTTTCAATGTGCCCTCCTATTCCCATTGCTGTCTGAACTCCCTAATTAAGTTATGTAAGCACCATAGTCAGATAATGGCATGACTGAGAGCTGAGAAAATCAAAAGTGATTAAACACAAGTCCACTGATTGCTTTCCTTTTCAGACCTTTTGTCTCCCATTATCAACGATTCCTCTTGGTCTAAATATTTAACAGACAAAATACATTAAAGTTTGATGCATTTCTCATGAAAAGTAGGTAATCATATCTCAAGTTTCACAATATTCCAACTGGATAAAGAAATCTTTTTTAATTTTTTTAATTTCTTCTTTTTAATCGTGAGCAAATTATCCTTCTGGCTTCTTCCCACAAGGGTTGCTGTGGAATTCTCCAGTCACAGGCTCCAGCTCTCCTGTTCTGGCTCTCCGGGTCTATGTACTTTCAACAAGCAAACTTCTGCAGGTTGTAGTTTATGGTGACCACTTCCCTGACCAAAAAACACCCATGTAGGGCCAGGGCACTGAGTGACGGCTGCTGCTCAGGTCAGGAAAGTCAGACAAAATGCCGAAATCAAAGGCATTTAATGCCTCATCTACCTACCTACCTGGAGTCCTGATGTGGCAACATAGGACAAGCAATGGACCACAGGTCGACTTGAACCACAAGGTCAGTGTTCAAATTCACCAGTCACTCCTTAAATGGCCATTATGATCTGGAACCAACTTGACAGCACTAACAACAACATACCTACCTACCTATCTAGATTAGGAGGCTTCAGAAATTCACGGGAAAATTCCATTTGATTTGACAACTCCTCGAGCCTGGTTTCTGTAGTGTCCAACAGAATGGTTTCTAGCTAGATATGTCTATTTAGACTAATTAAAATGCGCAAAATTTAAGAATCAGTTTCTCAGTCACACTGGCCACATTTCAAGTGTCTAATAGCCACATGTGGCTGGTGGCTGCCACCCTGGACAGCACAGGAGGAATGTCTGTCACTGGGGAAAGTCTTATAGACACAGTTCTGTATTAGATGACTGGAAGTCTGGCCACCTCACAACTCATCCTAGTCATTTTCTGGTTTGGGAATGTCGAAAACAAAGTCGCTTGAAAGAAAAAATATATCTACTATGAGGTTTGAATAAAAATTTGCAACAGGAATGATTATCCCAGGCTTTTGGGGATGGAAGCTCTGTACTAGCTTTTCCTTTCCTGTTTCTGTCTGGGAAGAGAGGATAAACTGTTCCTGGATACTTCTAAATCTGCAATTTCCTTACTCAGCTACTTATCCCCAGTAGTACAGTAAATACGGCCAGCTGTTGAGAAGTAATTAATACTAAGCCTCTGAATTTGAGGGATCATTAGCCCTATTAATCTTGACCAATCAAGACCTTGCAGTGCCTCAACTGTATTTATGAGGCACTCAGACATTTCTCTGTAATTTTGTATTCTAAAGACCACTCCTTAACATTATGCATTGATTTCACAACCAGCCCACACTGAAGTAAAGCCTTTGCCAGGTGTTCCTGACTGAGGTAGTGTTAAGTCAGGGCTTGTAGATTCCCTTCACGTACTCTTGTGGGAAAAATCATGTTCAGATTATAGACTTGAAGGAGTCACTGGAGGTGCTGAGCTAACATCCAGAGTAGGTCTCCAGAGCAGTGAATACTATGGAGACAGGAATGCCCTACAGGATGGGCGCTCTGTGTATCAGTATCAGTTGGTATTTTCTAATCCATGGTTTTACAACTGGTTCTCAGTGCTGTGTGAGTTTAAGCACATGCATATTTCATGTCCTCAGTGAAATTACAGTTGATCTTAGGCCAGAATTCCTGTTCTCAGTCACTGTGGTCACTGTGACCAGCACCCTTCACAAAGCCTTTGGATAAGATTGTGATGTGAACAGTACACACTCAGTCATCAGATTAAAGCTAGGCAGTTTAAACTGCTGGTTTTCCCCATACTCCAATACATTTTTGTAGTTGAGAAAACACACAGCAAAACATACACCAATCCAACCGTATCTACATGCACAATTCACTGACACTGATCACATTCTCCAAGCTGTGCAAGCACGATCACTCTCCCATTCTGAGTTGTTCCTCCCTCCTTAACATAAACTCAAGGCCCTCTAAGGTTCCTATCTAATCTTGCAAGTTGCTGTTGTTACTACAATCCATATAGATAATTCTTTTTTCTTTAAACTTTTTATTGTAAATTGAGTGAATGTTTACAGAGATCATTAGCTTTACATTCACCAAATCATACACTTGGTTTCATCTCACTGATTGCAATCTCCTCTGTGTAACAACAGTTACTTCACTTCCTCCCTGTTCCTATTTCCAGTCCACCCTCCTTCCAATTCCTTCTCAACTTTGTCCTTCAGTAAATGTTGCTCTTTTGATCCTGAATAGTTGACCATTCCATGGTGAGCATGCCTTAGCAGTGTTGTTGTGCCCGCTACATGCCTTGGCTGAAAATGAGGCCACAGGGATGAGTTCCATTCCAGACCTGAAGGGGAGCTGATAGCCATCGTCTTGGGTTCCAGTCCTTCTGACCAGTTGTTGTTAAGTACCATGGAGTCGGTTCTGACTCATAGTGACCCTACACAGGGTTTCTGAGGCTGTAAACCTTTATGGCCAGGTGGCATCATTGATGGACTCAAGTGTGGCAGCGGTAGTGAGGTTGGTCCAGGATCGGGCATTGTTTCGTTCTGCTGTACATGGGGTTGCTATGAGTCAGTGCCGACTCTATGGCACCTGACAACAAACCTTTATGAGAGCAGAACGCCTCCTTCTTCCACGGAATGGTTGGTAGTTTTGAACTGCCGACCTTGAGGTTAGCGGCCCGATTCGTAACCACTTCGCACAGGGAGCTCTGGTAGCGTAGTGGTTACGAATCGGGCTGCGAGCCGCAAGATCAGCAGTTTGAAACTACCAGTAGTTCCGCGGGAGAAAGATGAGGCATTCTGCTCCTGTAAAGATTTACAGCCTCGGAAACCCTGTGCGGGGTCGCTATGAGTCGGAACCGACTCCACGGCACTTAACAACAACAACAACATAAGGGATTGCAGTTACTGTTAAGTGCCCTGCATAAGGTTTTGAGGATTGCTTTGTGTGTTTGAACTGCGATCTTGTGGCGGTGTTTATC